GGGCGGGCGGCTCTGCCGGCGCGCTGAGGCGGGGGGCTGGGCTGAGCTGAGGCGGAGGGTGCGTTCTGCCGCCCGGCCCCGCTCCCCGCGGGCTCCCACTGGTGCTGGAAGCTCGAGTGAATAATCATAAAAAAAAAAGAAGCGACGAAACCTCACTTCTTGCGCACACACACACCCCATCCCCTCCCAATTAAATGCCCCAGTAAGTTCGTTTTTTGCCGGCCCACCCTAACGTGTCTTTAGGGTTGCTCTGACGGAGCTTTTTCCGACTTTGATCGTGTGGGCGCTCAGCGAGGGCTGTGTCAGCTCTGTGATGGAGAGCCCGGCCTCGGGTGTGCAGGGGTGGCTGTGCGGAGCCCCGGGTAACGCTGCGATTGCTCAGCTGCTAAGTAGCGTGGTAATGCCCTGAGAAACTCCTTGCTTAAAAAAATGATAATGAGGGTAGCGCAGACTCAACCCTCTGGAAAGTTGCATCAGCAGCCATAGATTATCCAGTTACATATGGAGAGGGGGTGGCTTCTGCCTAACCCAGTGCATCTGACTTTGAACTTAAGAGTTGCATACTATGGAAGGTTCTGGTTCTTTTTTTAGGTTCGTTCATAGTTTTCGTCGTTATTTTATATGTGTTATTCCTTTAACAATTTTTTTTAGGGAAACAAATTGCTATACTTTTGCTATTTTTTTTTTTTCTTTTCCCTTTTCTCCTCTCATGGAAGCATCCTTTGTCAACTATGTGCAAAGAAGTTTGTCGTCCTGTCTTGAACCCTTGGCTCCCAGAGGGGCTTTTGTTGGATCTGCTGCAGTACCCGACTCTCCAGCAGTGAGAACTGGGGTTAGGGTTTGAGGAGTGCAGGGCTGAACTCGGTGTCATTAACCCGTCTTCCCCTCTTGCAAATGCAGTTCTCTTTAATGTGTTTAAAGTGTCACCCCGATTGTTTCACCTGAGTGGTGGGCTGATGCCACATATGAAGCGCTCAGACTCACTGGAGCAAGAAGATGGATAGAGCTCATCATGGCTATTATAAGGCATATCAAATGTCAATTGTGAGGCATGTGCGGATTGTCAGATAAACCGTTTGATAAAGTCCAGTTCTGTTGGTAACACTCTTTAACAAGCATTTTCTAATAGCCTGTGTTCTAAAAGCCCTTTGGCCTTTTTCCCCCTCCTCTGGCATGAATAAGCTTGCATGTGAAACAAAGTGGTTAAAACTTCACAATCTCTAGCATAAAAAGCAGCGTGGTTGTTTCTGGCTGACCTCTTGGTGACCAGCTGTTACAGTTGATGGCCCAGGACAGTTATCCTGTCAGCAAGGTAGATTTCCTGCGACTGCCCAGAGCGTGTGGTTTCTTGGCAGATCCTGGGCACACGCATGCAGCATTTGTTTTGGTGGCTTTTCTACTGAGACTCCCTCTCCTCCTGCTTCCTTTAGGAGGAGCTAAGAAAGTTCTGTCTCTCATACATGAATTTACTGCAATTGGAAGCTGCACATCCAGTGGTTAGAATGTAATTACACTTTGTTGACATGCAAGAGCTGTGGGAGAAGAAAGAAAAATGGAAGGCTGAAGCAGCAGATTATCTAGTTAGGGCTTCTAGGAGTGACCTGTGTTTCCTGGCTGTCTCAAAACTTTGCTTCATTTCTTAACTTTCAATAACATACAGGAACCTTCCAAAAGTGTGAGACTTCATTCTGTGAAACCAGGCCTTGTCCTTTTGGGTCAGCTCAAGGTATACGATTCCCCAGGCAGATTTTTTTTCTGTATGTGTTCCTCAATACCTTGGTTGACCCATTTGCAGAAGCCAAGTGAAAGAACACAACAGGGGGTGGAAATGAGGTGCTAAGATACTTGATTAAAAAGAGTATGCATGCAAACATTAGTGTTCTGTAGAAGACTGGGAGTTACATCCAGCTTCTAGAAATCATTCTGAAATCTGGAAATGTAACTGTTGAAGTAATAACTTAAAACGTGGTCTCTACAACAGTCCACAACAATGCTATCTTACGAAAAGCCTTCAGCTACTGGACACAACAAAATTATATTGGTGACTATACTTCTGTTAGTAACACTTGACAAGTGACAGGTATTTGCAATGTGGAGTCACTGGCACGTACATGATGGATCAGTGACTCCAGATAGTGGAAAATTCCCTTATTTTATTTGTGGATTTTCTTTTGTTTTGTTAGGTATTATTAGAAGCACAGAAAGAATTGGTGGACTACAAGGGACTCGGTATAAGTGTTCTTGGTAAGACTTTAAAAATGCTCTTTTTTTCAGAATGTAGATGTTTAGTAAGAGTTCCTGCTATTGGTAAATCAGCTCCTTTTCTAATACCATATTCTGGTAACATGTATGCACAGAGAATACTTTTTCATACCACTATTCTGTGGGAGACTGTAAAGTGATATGCAGCCAGATGTTTAGTGATCCAAAACAAAGAACTGGAGACAAAAAAGATATCTAAAGATATCTTTATATCAAAAAAAGACAAATTAATCACATGTAAACATTAGTACTTCTGGATCTGCAGGCATGTGTGTACACATATATAGGCAATATGCAAAAAAAAGATTTTATATATTTATAAAATGTATGTGTATACACATACTATACACAGAGATAGACATGCTAGACATATTTGTATATATGTATATAGGTACAACATATATAGTATCTTACAGACTGTGTGGCAATATGCTTCAGATGTATAGCATCCTTCCATTAGGAAGGACACTTCCTCCACTGGCATAAGGAGGAAGTGTTTTCTATGCCGTATGGGTAGCTGATGGGCTTTCCAGCCCCAGTTGCACAAAAATTTTATGCAAGAAGATGGTCAGTGCTTTACTAGTCCTATGAAACTATTTGGTTGCTGCAAGTAGAATGTGCAGCAGTCTCTGTAGGACTGGGATTCGTGTTTAAATCATACACATTAACAGATGGAAGCAAAATATGGATTTAATAAAAGGAATTAATATTAAGTGTCCTTAATGCTTAACTAGGATTACTGCATGAAAAAGCCTTGTTTAAAAAAAACCCAGAACAAACCAAACCCCTGTACCTTACTCTACACTTGTGACAGCATTAGTAGCAGAGAATGTTTGTAGAGTAAGGAAAACTTACGCCTTTCTAGGGAGTACTTTATTCACACAGATGTAGTTGTTCCTGGGGGTAATAGGGTCATGTGAATGCAAGTGGGCTGGGTTTGCCTGGATCTGAACAAGGTTGGAGGTGTAAGTCTTCTGTTGGTATTTAGGAACACTGAGCAAAAAAAGTAGGAGTTGGAACTGGGGGTGGCAGCCTTCAGGCATTTTCAGTCTGTCGTGTAAAAGGTTTAAAGCTGAACACAATTTTTAAATATCATTCATGTATTACCCTTCTGTTTCATGTTACTACTTCTTTCCTTTCCACCAAAGAAATGAGCCATCGGACTGCAGATTTCACAAAGATTTTAAATACAGCTGAAAGTCTTCTGCGTGAGTTGCTGTAAGTGAATTACTTCCTGCTTATTTTTGCTTTATGCTTGTGCTAGTTGCATGAGTAATGACTAATATGGAGACCTTTCCTTGAAAGCACCTGTATCTGTGTTGTGTTTTTGTTTTGTTTGTTTAGATATTCTGTCTGATAGAGTAATAACCTTGGAGAGGACACTGGCGTTCTTTGATGCTGATTTATTTGAATGTGACCAAGGGCTTTTAGGAGATTAAGATGCTTTCTATGTGTCTACTATACGCTGACTAGTTGACTTTCTTCTGAAATTTTAAGTTTTGTCACCTTCATAGAATTCATGAAGGGCCGCAACTTTCTTCAATAAATGAGTGGAAACAATGCAAATTGGCGCTCTAGTGGTAGAGGTGATCTGTGCATTACTTGTAAGTCTGAGTTTACTAATGTAAACTCTATGGATATGTGTGTTAGAATCACTGATCAGGAGCCCTTTTCCTATTTGTAGTGTTACACAAATTTTTAAGTCTGAAATAAATACATTGTTTATTAGAATTAATGTTCTCATAGTAGTTAACAGCAATCGTCATGTCATATCAAAGCTGACTCTCAGTCACAGCCAGAAATATTGACAGAAGTAGTTTTAATGACTTTGAACAAGTAATTTTGGGGGACTGTATGAACAACTCTTTTTGGCACTTGCTCTGCAAGTACAATTTACTGTACAGTTGCACTTCCAAATTGAAGGGTTTCAATGCTGAATTCTACTGTGAGCACTTTGGTGTGAAGTTCTTAGCCTGACAGAAAAGCCATGAAGCTAGCAATAGACAAATTTGCAAGTGAACCTTAATTCTGTTGGAGTATCTTTTAAGTTTGAGTTTACTATGATAGTAGAGCTGCTCAGGAGTGGGTTTGTTTAATGCTATGGGGAGGGGAAGAGGAAGGGAGGGAGGAAAGCTTGTTTTCAGCAAATTTTTTATCATAGCATTACTCTTAATATTTAAGTTGTTACTCAAGACTGGTGCCAAAGTAAATTAATAGGATTTGGTCTAACCTCTTGGTAAAAAGTCTTCTAAAACTATGTTCTTTCTCATTGGCTGTAAAATGCATAATATTAAGTAGTATGCGTCCTTTGTCTTCTGGGAATAACGTAAATGGTTATTTCTTGCATGCAGAAAAATACCAGAAAACTACAAAGTCCTTTTCCTCCAAGGAGGTGGATCTGGTCAGTTCAGTGCAGTTCCACTTAATCTCATTGGTTTAAAGGAAGGAAGACATGCGGATTATGTGGTTACTGGAGCTTGGTCGGCAAAAGCAGCTAAAGAAGCAGAGAAGTATGCCAAAGTGAATATTGTTCATCCAAAACTAGGAGCCTATACAAGTAAGTTGATGATTACATCCACCTACGTGAATGCTTAGCTTTTAGAATCACTCTGAAAATTGGTTCAACTCAGCTATTGGGTTATTGAATATTAACTAGATACAAAGTTGACTGCTCAGCACTCAGAAGATTGCCTTCCACACTTCTCCATGTTCATCACTGGGAGATCTGTTAGATGGCTTAATAGTCTCCATCAGAAAAAAAATCTGAAACTAAGCTGAGCAGAAAATAAATGGCAAGAAATGAATGTGTTTTGGTAAGGAAATGGTCTGGCTTGTCTCACTATATTTTTTTTGTTCCTTTTTTTTAATAGTTAACTGATCTCTTACCTTGCAATATCCCTGCAAGTAGCTTATTTCAGTTTCAGGTACACTCAATAATGAGATTGAGTGTAGATGTAGCACGTGTAGGATCTTCAGGAGATTGTAGACCTGCATTCTGTTACCTTCTTTCAAGGGTTCCCAAATACTTATCTTCCCCACCCTTGTATGGTTAACAGGCAGTTGGCTCTGGAATAAAGAGCTGTTTTCAGCTCCTCCTCTTGAAGCTTATTACTGGATATGACATAATCTGAATGACCACAGTATAGAAGGAAGGTTAACTGCTGTTGAAGCATTGGGAATTTTTATGAGAGAGTCTGTTTCAAGAACATTTTAAGTGCATAATTTGTCAGTGGATATACATAAATAATTCGTGGGGCAGAGACACACAAGTTCTGGTTTCTGCTCCTGCCAGTCATGCTTACTTTTCTTCCCTCTGATCCATATTATAGTATTTGAACTGGGAAGAGTGGCAACAGGAAAGGAGAAGGGTATCCCCTTGCGAGTTAGTGTTCTAATCACCAGTTAGTGTACTAACTTGGAAGATAAGTTTATATCCTCTGAGGCACAGCAAGGAATTGAACCTACAACTTCTCACTCTAGGGGAGTGTTTTCACCATTTGGCAGCTGTAGATGAGGGGAGAGGCAGTAAATGATGGTGGAGACAATAGCAGCACTTCTTCACCCTCATGTTTTGGAGGAGAGAAGAAAGGAAGAGCAACCATTTGTTCTGTTCAAAACCTGTTCTGTGCTGTCAGGGCATGCCTGTATGTTGCCTGTTGACAGAGGAAATCTTAGTTTTGTAAATCAGTTGCAAACCTTAAACAGGAGATAGTTAGGTAAGCTTGTGTTCAGCTTGGACAAGACCAAAATGCTTCCGGGGATCCACAGAAACACAAATTTAGAGAGCTTTGCCAGTGAGAACTTGGGTGCTTCAGTGATTCCAAAAGCATCCAGAGGATTCTGGGACCCAGTGCCTGAATTCCTCTGAAATGCTGTTTTGGACCCCTAGGGCAGTAGTCTTGGATTGCAAACATGATGAAAATCTCTGGAGGAATAAGGGCTGAAAACCAGAAGGGTGTTTGCCAGCTTAATGATGGCTCACCACGGAATTTTGAGAGTGCACTGGTGTATTTCCTTTGCCGATAAATGATATCTTCCTAGTAACAAAATAATTAATACTTTATACTGCAAAATTGTTCTGGGTTTGCATTGAAGTCCCATGTTCAAGTGAAATTGCATGCCAGGAAAATTACTTGTCTCTAGTGACCTTTGATACTCTTTTCTGTCTGTCTCAGACATTCCCGACCCAAGCACTTGGAATCTTAATCCCAATGCGTCCTATGTCTATTACTGTGCTAATGAGACTGTCCATGGTGTGGAGTTTGACTTTGTACCTGATGTCAAAGGAGCGGTTTTGGTTTGTGATATGTCATCAAACTTCCTATCCAGACCTGTGGATGTTTCCAAGGTATAGTACTGGACACGGTGGCTGCACAAAGCATTTTCAAACTTGAATGCATATAATTAGGCACTTAGAACTATGTTTGGATAGCCAGAAACGCTAAGCAGTGAAATGAAAGAAATAATATTTTTTAATTGGGTATCAGATGGTGGAGACAACTGCTGAAATTTAAATATTGAAGTCTCAAACTTCATCTGTTGGTTTGGTTTTGTGTTTGTTTTTTTTTTTTTTCAGTAAAAGCATTGAACTATGTTGACATTGTTCACGTTAATAGCTGTCCAAGTTTATTTGTCTATCTTATGTCTTGACTGAAGAACATGCTGTAACTGAAAAAGATATCTTCCGAATCATATTTGGTCTGTGGATAGTGTACATGACTGTAGCAGGGTACTGTGAATCAGAAATTTTGATCCTGCCTATTATGTGGAAAATCTGTAGCCCCTTTTAAACTGCTAAAGCTTCCTTTGACTTGCTATTACTATGTCTGTTTCATGGATAATACAGAGGCATAACATAGTACTTGCTTATGTATGTAAAACGTGTTGTGAGTGGGAAGTGTTAATGACTAGTGAAGTAGTGTGTTTGACCTTTCTTATCGATGTGTAGCAAAAATAAGGGGCAATTATTAGTGCATTGGTCATGGCCTTTTCTGTTCTGCCTCTTTGACCAGGTGGATTATATGATGCCAACCAGATGGGTTGAAAATACTGTGATCTATGTGTGAACTTATTTTTAGTAAATTTGCTTGGAGTCGCGTGAAATAGGGACAGGCTGTCTTTACAATTATTTGTGGGTACTAAATAAATATTTAGCAAATCATTGGGAAATCTGTTGTGATAATCTCCCTCAGTTGAATGAACATACATGATTCTGGTAATAGACATACATGGGATAACAATGGTAGCTGTAAGAGCACTTTGAAATAAAAGCTCCCCTAAATCTTCTTTAACCTACAGGTTGTTTATTTTCAACACATTTTCCAAGCTGTTCAGTGAGTTGAATGCCTGTTGTATAATGATACCAGTGTATGATTCAGTACTAAGATTTACAGTGAATGCATGTAGCAACTCTTTCGTTTCTTTTTTTTTTTCCTGTTAAAGTTTGGCGTGATTTTTGCTGGTGCTCAGAAGAATGTTGGCTGTGCTGGAGTTACTGTTGTAATAGTACGTGAGGACTTGCTGGGATTTGCACTGAAAGAATGCCCTGTAGTACTGGATTACAAAACACAAGCAACGAATGGCTCTTTGTATAACACTCCACCATGCTACAGGTAACTTACCGGGCTATTTAACACCTCTTACTCAGGAAGCTACTGCACTGCCATCTGCTGCTGTTATCAAGAAAAGTTTCAGAAATTGAGTATGTGCCTTCAAGTCACTGATATGTTGGTGTTTCACATGATTTCTGTGAAAATGCAGGAGGTACCCAGCCGCATGACTGTAGTAGGCTTTGGTGTTGTCTAGTGGGACTCAGCCATAAAGACATAATATTTTCAGAAGTAAATACTACGTTGTCGTAACTCCATTGTAGAAGTCTCAGGATCCAATTGTGACTTAAATGAACACAACTCTGGTCAATTCAAAGGTGATGCTTCTATCATTGCAAATAGTAATTTGGCACTCAGTCTTGCTTCTTGAAAACTCAGTGTATATTTGGTTTGATCCTGAGGTTGTTCTTAGCAATTGAACCTCCAGATCCCTATCACATTAAAATAATTGTATTTTTTTTTTTTTAAAAAGGATTTTAGTCATTATTTTGCTTTATCCTCTAGTAGAACTTTCTGTATTTCTTGAAGTACTAACTCAGTGTTTGACTTGGCATCCAAAAATAAAATTGGTCTAGCTACAGAATCATTGCTAGCAATCAAGATCATAAAATTGGCATGTACCTCGTGATTTCATATATGCAAGAAGCAGAACAGACTGCATCTTGCTCTCTTAAAATTACAATCTCCTAGCTTGTGATAGCTAGTGAAATGATGCTTTGATACTGGAATATTTAGGTGTTGAGCCATAATATTTATCTATTTTTAATCTGGTGCAGTTTTCTACCAATGTCCACTAAAATGATTATTTTAAAAAAGAAAATCTTCAAACCTGGTATCCTTTTTTCCCTGGAAGTATTTTTAATTACTTTGAAAGGAATGATTTCTACTTCTAAAGATAAGGTTTCCTTTTGATTCAGGTAATTTTATAGTGCAATCTTATATTGTTGATGTTTAATCTAAGCAATTAGCGCTTTTTTTTTTGCACGTGCTGGAATTTCCAAGCTTAAGTTGCCTCATGATGTCCAGCAGATATCAAACATGCTGTATAGGCATAAAGTACTGTGATTCCTGTGTGTAAAGCCTACCTTAATGCCATAACTTACTTAATTTCAGTAGAATTTTAAGTGATACTAATTGCATATTTGCATCTGCCAGCTCTCACTTTGGGGTGTACTATTGCAATGATATAGAGGCAGTTACCCTCATTTATCAAAAGAACAGTAAATCTTGTGAGCATATGTTTATTCTATGTTTTACAATGCACAACTAGTTTTCCTGAGGAGAATGCATACTGTAATGATGTGCTCTTGCTGTCAGCCCAACTGCCCTCTTGGGCAGCCCCGATTTCCGTAGGGCTTGTGTCTAAGACAAGAGTTAACCTTACAAGGTTTCCAGATTTGTGTCTTGTTTCTGAATGTAGCTTTGTAACACGGGCAGTATGTGTGTCTGTTTTCCCCCAGTGATTGATAAAGCCTCTGTCTCATGATCAATTATTTTCCCAACTGCCAAGTCACACGTACTGCTTTGGACACTGTGTACTTGCACATGCCAGGTTTTAAATCCAGCCATTCATGTTTTCCAAGTACAAAGCTATTTCCATTTGAAAACCAAAGTTCTACTTAATCTTAGCACTGATCATAGTGTTGCTCCTCTGGTTTGAAAAGCAAGGCAAATTAAATTCTTCAGCTTTACTTTAGCCATGGCAAAGAACTTCTGAAAAGAAAGTGGTGCTTTAGCTGCAACTTGGTGTCCGTTAATAACGTTAACAGGGTAGTAGGAGGTGAAGGGAGAAGAAAATACAGTTGAACTAACACTCTTTCCACTCTTTCTCCTTTCTGATCACTGTCTTGCCAGATTTCACTTCATGCTACAGACCCACATTGGAGTACACTCCAGAATCCAGAATGTAACACAGACTGAAATGTTGGCAGGGTGCACATCTGTTTGGCTTGGCTCTAAATGCCTGTTCCAGTTTTTGTAAGGAACTGGCAAAGCTTCTTAGTTCTCTTTTTCTCTACCCCTTTCCTTGCACTCTCTAATGGTTTGCTGGCAGACAGGCAGGAAATATTAACTGAATTTGCAAAAGCTACTTCAGCAGGATGTTAAATTAAATTAAGGTGATGCTAATGGCTTTAACCTCTTGGCGCTACAGAGCTTGACTTTTTGACCCTAATCTGCTTTGCTAAAATGAGCAATGAATTTGCTATAAAAGTCTCATTTCCAAGCGCCAGGGGTTTATTTTGCACTTAAAATTGCTCCAGAAACACTATTTTAACTGACATGAAAGAAAAATAAAAGACTTTAGCTGACTGCATTTTGTGGATGATTCTAAGGCTGATATCTTTAAACCTTACTTGTCCAAAAAGTTCTATGCAAGGAAATGAGGGGAAGAGGTGGATGTGGCCCTGCATATTTGGCAAGGGCTTATGTGTAAATCTTTCACTCTGGGGTTGTTGACAGCATGCTGTCATAAATGTGGCAAGATGGTTCTCTCAAAGCTATAAGGTGCTTTATATAAAAGGCAATATGTAACCTTGATTATTCTGCAGCCTTTCTTGCAGTGTTCAAAGATTTGATGTTGGCATCCACTGAGAAATTAAAAGTAGAAAAGAGTGAAATGGTCTCCTGCTAGATTTGCATTAGGGATACTTGTAGGGTAATGTTCTCTGAGCACTCCCTTGGAATCTGTAATGAAGGTGTTAATAAAAGCAAACTTGTTGGAAATATGCCATAGAAACTTGTGAACAGTTTATTATGTAAAGTGTTGCAGTCGTGGGAAATGCCTGAACTTGAACAAGCTGAGTTTTGTAGCAAAAGCACAAAGACAAAAGGCCTGGGAGATTTTTTTATGTTGCACTTAGTAACTAGCATTGAAATACTGCGTCCCAAGTCAGGGGGTGCCAGTAGGCTTCCAGATCTCTACTTAGAAATTGAATGGTAATGAATAACTAAGTGTAATACATCATTACTTGTTTTGTCCAACTTCACTATTTATGTGGGAAAAAAGGTTTGGTTTTTGTTTTAAGGCTGAAATGGAATTATAGTTTCTATTTAACATTCATGAAAAAGGGAGTAGATTTCTAGCATTAATAATGTACATACATTTGTGTCTTTGCTTGAGCAGCTGCACAGGGGGCATGCAGCTTAGGACTTCATAGGCAGTTGTGTGGTCAATGAACTGGTGGTCTGCGCAGCATGACTGGGGATGTCCTTGGGAGCTCTGCAGCACTTGTCCTTCTGCGGTACAAAGGATCTAGAAGATCCTTGGGTCCAGCAGATTTGTGTAGCGTTTGAATTTCAGGACACTTCATCTGTGTCCAAAAAACATTGCTTACTTGGAATTGTCATAATTAGTAAGATAGTCCAGATTAATCTTAAGTACCCTAAAACCATACACAACACTTTGTTGCTGAAACATTTTGTGGACCATTAAACAAGACTTTTTTTTTTCCTCCTGCTTTTTGCTAAGTAATCTAACTGAAAATTGTTCTTTCCTCCTGCAGTATTTATATCATGGGATTGGTACTGGAATGGATAAAGAACAACGGCGGAGCTGCAGCTATGGATAAACTTAGTTTAATCAAATCACGGATGATTTATGATATTATAGACAAATCTAATGGATTCTATGTGTAAGTTGCTATGCTTTTGCCTTGGTTTCAATATTGCAAAGCCAAACATATTCATAACTTTTAAGAGTCTTATAACAGCATATTTTTAAAGTTACCTCTTCAGTATGTAGAAATTTTGAGAAATCTTACAGGAATTATTTGTACAAATCATTTACTTGATCACTATCCAAGGATGAGTCTCATTCCAGTAGCAAGCTATTTCAAGTTACCCTGTGTAGATCAGTTGTGAAGCATATTAATAACACATGTTCTAAACTTAATAAAATGCAGGACCCTAAAAGAAGAGAATAGAAAAATCAGATATGGAGACTTTGTTTGTATGCTTACTGATTCCGTTGGGGAAATATAGGCCAAAACAGAGAAAGTGGCTTTTAAGAAGTTGTAGGGACACTATTGCATCATATTCTTCCTACCATCTCTTTTAGCAGTCATAATCTTCTCTTTCTGTGTCAAGTAAAGTATTTTTATTAGCTAATTGTGCAAAGTTCAGAAACGCTTTCTGGAATAAGAGGAGGAAGATCAGGCCTAGATGTAGTCAAAATGTAATACATTTTTTTCATACAGTTTATTTTCTTCACTTTTGATGGTTTTCTACAGCAGATTTAACCTTGTGATTATTACATAGGATCAAAAGTACTTTGCAACACTACAGGACCAAAAATATATATAGTTAAAAGCTGATGCTGTAATTTGGAATAATACTAATACTTGCCAATTTAAAAAACTAGTAATTGACTATGAAAGTACAAAATATTTTTTTTGGTATAAACCCAACAGTTTTGGGACCTAATTAACTTTCAAGTTAAAGTTAGGATAGGGCAAACTAAATACAGCTTTTTAAAGTAAAGCCGGCTGCAACCTTAATTGGCAGGGATATAGTTTCACGATAATATTTAATATGTTCTGCTTATCCCTTTAGTTAATTAGAACAGCCTTGCTTTAGCATTGTCATGATCGGGAGTGTGATCCTACTCTATTGAAATCCAGAGGGTCTTTTTTGTAAACCTCAGTGAGCAAATGAAGCTTTGGAAAAAAAAAAAACAAACCAGAAACAAAACATTTTTTGACAAATAGGAATTTGTTTCTGGCAAGCTGGTCTGTAAGGCTGTGAGTGGGAAATGCAATGCAGATGGGATGGTGAATAGTCAATTGGGAAGGCAAAGCAAGCTTTGCTAACTGAAGTGTGTGTATCTTACTAAGCAATACTGTTAGACAGTGGATTTTTTTAATTGTGTCCGTGACTAAAAGGAAGACTTATCTGGAGCTGCCTTCCTAGCATAAATGTGCCACCTAATCTGTGGCATGCTTCACTGGGTAGGGAGTGTAGCAAGCCATTTAGTGAATGGAGACTTTCTTCTACAAAGTGCTGTCTGCCATTTTCAGTTTTCTTTCCAAAGTCTGCACACTGAGTTACACTGGATTGCCTAATACTGTATCTACTAAAAAATATAGTGTAGCTACAGCTATTCAAATATGGGAATGCTTACAAGAACAGTGTTTTCTTGGTTGCATCTGAAGGAGAAAATTTGCATGTGCAGGTATTATGATTGATCTTATTTTTCTCTTCATAATGGAGACATCTGTACAAAGGAACAAGGGAGGAACTAAAAAAGAGTTATACACATTCTTTGTCAAATAGAATAATAATAGGTATGAAATTTACATGCAGTTTATGAGAACTTACTCCTAATGAATCCCTGCAAACATCTACATCACAGCCTTAGGAATTAATCAATCTGCAGGCTTCATATCTCTAAGAGATTTGGGCTGTGATGCACCTCATATATATTGTGGCCCTGTATGCAATGCAAGATTATTCTAGAGGTATGTCTTCTCTAGTATTACTCAGAATCATGAACATAAGTAATGCAGAAGGTGGACCGAAACCACTACCAAAAGTCTCCAATGTCCCTGAAAATTTCCTTATGCTGTGTTCTTACTCTTCCTTTAGCTCCATTTAGCAGAGTCAGACTCAATTCTGTTAGGATTTGTGACTAGCTGAGTAAAAGTGTGTCAATCCTTGAAGATAAAGACAAGAAACTGCTTGAGACTGTAACTGCACTGTAACTAACCTCACTTACCCTAGGGGGGTGTAGTTGTGGGTGAGGCACTGCTTCTTATTATGTTTTTTTTAATTGAGGTCTGTTTACAAGCCTCCTGTGCATTCCTTTGGGGCAATTTTGAGTATGTCAGGAAGGGTTAATAAAGCCTTCCACTTTCTGTTGTCCTACTGTATGTAGCTGAAAAATGTAAATTTAACACGAAATGAGTTAATCCTTACTTTCTGCAACTTTTCTAGGTGTCCAGTGGAGAAAAAGAACCGCAGCAGAATGAATGTCCCTTTCCGTATTGGCAGTGTCAAGGGCGATGAAGCACTGGAAAAGAAATTCCTTGAGAAAGCTGTGGAACTTAACATGATATCTCTGAAAGGGCATCGGTAAAGTCAGATGAATTCCTTTCCTGTGCAGAATAAACTGTGACTATAGTGATAAAGCAGTAGTCATTTTGCATTGACTTACCAGCATTTCTCATTCATAAGCTGTTCCTCATTTAACAGTCTAGAGATAGTAATCAGAGACTGCTGGTGGGTCAACTACTGCCTAGGTGTGGTGAGCCTCAGACAGCTTTCTCCTTAATTCTTCTTTCTTCTGCAATTTGATAAATCTGCCTCTGTGCAAATGCCAGAGAAGGTGACTCTTGAGGTTAGATTTTGTCACGGTATAAAGCCTTTCATTACATGGTTTGACAGTCTGGTTGCAAGAGTTCCTTCCCATGTTCAGTGGTGTTTGTGGATTAAAGATAGCTTTTTGATGTCACAGGGCTGCAGTGTTGGAGCTGTAAATAACTTAAATACTGAGTTTCTCCAAATTGCAAGCTTGCCTTGAATAATTAAATGTTGCTTCTCATTCACACAAAATGTGAATTTTATCCCTTTGGAGTAGGGGTAGGTTTAAATGTCAATGAATGTTACTAATGTCTTTTTCAGAATTTACAAAAACTTTCTCTCTTTTCTCCTCTCCTCTTTTCAATTCAGGTCTGTGGGAGGAATCCGTGCCTCTTTATATAATGCGGTGACTGTAGAAGATGTTCAGAAGCTTGCAACGTTCATGAGAAGCTTCATGCAGATGCATCAGTCATAAATGGCCATGAGCTGAAGCCATGCTGCACATCTAGGAAATAAAAGCTAAGGGGGTTTGAAAGTTACTGTGGTACTGCACAGCTGTAGCACACAAGTTATATTTTCTTTTTGTTCCTGTAGCTATTTTAGTTAACTGCATGGGATTGAGTCCCAATCTTGCAATGACTTGGCATCCTTGGCTTCTCTGAAGGTGAGGATCCCCAGACTGATCAAGATTGGTTCCAAAATTTGCAAAACAGTATTCTTAATGTGTTCTTAAAACTTGAGTAGCATTGTAAGATGCTATGGATCCAAGTCTGTTTCTTGATTCTAATCACGAATGTCTTCTTCAGCAATGCCTTGTTTTAGTAAACTTCAGGAGGCAACATTTGCATAAGCTTTTTGTAAAGCTTTACAAATACTCTGCAAAGTGACTCTAGAATTAACAATAAGTGTTCTCTAAGGATATCTAGTTGATTTATCAGATATATATTCCAACAATATACCACCAGCAGTATTTTGGAGTTAATATCTGTATTCCTAACTTGATGACCTTGCCTTTAGGCTTCTGCTTCCATGCTGGAAGTACTGTCATAAGTTCCATGTAGTTATACCTACTGTGGTTAAAGTCTCTGTAAGACTGGGCCTTTTTTCATATTATCATTTATTGGCTTAAAGCTAAGATGCATGAATCTGTAATTAAATCAATTTATAAGATGTTTATTTGCCTACGCATCTTGTATATTAAACTTGTCTAGGTTATTAATTTTATATTCTTGCTTTGGTGTACGCATATTCCTACCAAAAACTTGTTTTTAATTTCTTAACCTTACGCTAAACTGGATTGCTCTGTTCAGCTCAATGGATCTGTGAGTTTCTCTGCACTGACTTCCTAGCCCAAAGTGCAGCAGACTGATCTTCTGATGCTTCTTAAACATCTTCCCTCTCTAATTGTTCCAGTATTTTTTTCTGCCTTTTCATTGCTTCAGTTCTGTAGCCTTTTGTCTATGGGGCTTTGCTCAGCTGCAGTAAATACAAGTCTTGACTTCTCTGCCTTTTCCTGACACTAGATCACACTTTTGGTTCAACTCTCCCACTTGATCCTTCTGGCTTATTCCAGACTTTGGTACTCTGGGCTAGAGAAGGAACTGTGGTTATGCAAAGATCTTCTATTGAAGTACTCTTGAGTTACTTTTTTCCTTCTTGGCTTGTGAATTTACCACCAATGACCATATAGTGACACTAGCCTCCTGTTTCAACTTAGGTAGAAGCTTTTTGCTAGTATCATAATGTTTTGCGTTACTGCAGCTGGTTTCAGTCTACAGAATTTTGGTACAGGATTGGGATTTTTTGATCTTATCTAACACCAGTACAGTGGTAACAACTTAATAATGATAATAATAGACTGTCCCTTTCTTGGTAGAACCTCACAGTAAGTCAGTGAATTTGTGCTAGGGTTGAGTTACATTCCTATCTGAAAAGTCATAATTTTATGACTACTGTTTTGAGATTTTTATCAACTTAGTGTAACTCAAAGTTATTAAACAAATTAGATGAAGAAAATAAAACTTAGTCACAGCATGCTGGGAAGTACCAGTGTGCCTGAAGCCTTTGTTTTTGTTGCTTTCAGAAGGATGAGGTCATGCATAATATGCATTAGAATTTTAGATTCCAATCTCATCCTTTTCCCTAAAAAGAAATGTTTTATTTTTCTGAAACTGTCTTACCTACAACTAGCATAGAAATAAGAGTATTACTATGAGAAGGCTTTGAGAACCCTTTTTGCACTGCCAATCATGAAGATCTAATTCAGCTTCCATATCAAGCTTTTTAACTTTCTAAAATTCTACTTTCTCTGAATTTTTGTGTGCTAATTTTCAACAGCTGTGGCTTCTCCCTCTTTCCAAAATTTAGTAAACATTTCTATTTTATAATAATAGCTTTGAATTCCCCTTAGGATGTATGCTTTTATGTGCGATTACAAAAAAGCTTGCACTGCTCTATGCAGCTGATTCATGAACCCAAAAGGGAACCTCTTTGCTGCTTCCGAATTGTGCCTAACATTTGTCAATTAGATATATATATATTTTTTTTTTAATGCAGAAAGGCAAAAATTGTGTAAAAGCAGAATGTGAAGACTACAATAGCAGTCAGTGATTGAATATCATGTGAGGGGGGTGCAGGAATGTTGTAGCATGTGCTGAACGATTTAGTTACTTGATTTGTTTCAGGCTTATCCATGCAACAGTTCTACCCTTGCAAGCTGCATCCCTGAACAATGTAATCAGGATATTGAACCATGCTGGGCAGAGAATTGCACTTCCCCTCATCAGATGAGCAAGAAGAACTTCAGCAGGGAGTTGCTGGGAGTCCTGGTCTCTCTTCCCTATGTCAGGACTTCCAAGCTGGGTCAATAATGGTAGTGTTTGGAAGCAGGGTTTTTCTTTGTGTGATATGAATACTCCTAAGGCATTCAAAGGTTTTGAAAAATAGAACGAAAATATTGATCTCATCTGAGTTTGTGCATGTAGAGAGGGAATTGTAAAATGAGCTCTTCTCAATCAACAGTGCTTTCAGTTCCTTTTCTAGTGAGTTCTCTCTACTACATCTTCTGGCTCCTGTGCTTGATTTCACAAAAGTGGCTGCTTCCATTCTCTTTAGTTGGTGGCCACCATCTTTTCCTGGCTGAAAAAGGGAAAGCTGCTGAGGAGGTTGTGCACTCCCTCTGTTCCTGCTCTGCACAGTGAGGAGTGCTTTAGCCCAGGTGAGAAGAGCTGTAGATCAGGAAGGTACCCTGTCCAGGAGACTCCCGTCAGTTGTCAATGTGGCAGTGGTGGTACCATCTCTAAGCCTGGCACAAAAGAATTAAGAATTAGAAGTCTGGATTGCCACATCCTTATTCTAATTCTAGTGGGGATAAATAATTCATATGGACAGTCCTGAGCCTGTGTCAGCTGACACTCTGTATTGTCATTTTTTTTTTTTTTCCTTTTCTGTTTACTCCCGTTCTTCTTTTCAACTTGTAACTGGCTTAATATTTTTAGATATACCTGGGGATATTTAGATGTAAAAAGTTTTAGCCTATACTTGACTTTAACGTAAATGTTTGGATGAAATGGGAATAAAAGAAATCATATACTGATGGATTGGAAATTTTCAAAGTATGCTGAAAGCATTATTAGGTCTGGCACTATATTGGTGTATGATTAATGTTTGCTGTATTTAATTCTCTGGATAGAAAATAAAAATGAGGGTGAACCTCTTTGTATTTGATAAGGATGTACCTAATTAAAAATTGAAATGTTACAAAGTTTTACATGAAATCAGTCACTTTAATTGGAAAGCGGTATCCCCGTTCCTGTTGGTAATTGGACTCTTGATATTTTAAAACCAGGATTCATGACAGTCTGTAATAAATTGGTCCCTTTTAGGCTAAAGAAGTTAAGAAGTTATAATTACTGATGGATTACTGAATGGTTGGAGGAGTGTGATCAAAGAGATGCAAGGAGATATGTAGAAGAGCTTGTAGCTTGTGAAGATATATTTATTTTTTTTAAGTAGCTAAGCAATAAATGTGTATTTGATGTGACAAAAACAAAAGCGGTACAGTTACTGAAGTCCTAGAAAATTTTAATTCAATCTCCTACCTTTGCATTATGCATAAAAAGCAAAAACTGAGTGGTTTAGTAAATGGATTAACTACAAAAAAAAATAATCAGGTGCAAAAGATTGAGATTTGCTAAACTATTACAGGACAAATTGCCATTAAACTGCTTAGAATTTATAATATAATGAACAAATCTGAGTGTGATTCTTTGTTTTAGTTCCATGATGTAGACTGGAGACATTTGAGAGACGTATTGCTAAAACTAGGAATTGTAGTAACAAACAGTTTTTGCTGTATAGCTGAGTAAATACTTTTCCATAGCATAAGCAGTAGGTTTTGGATTTGAAACAAACTGTATGAAACCTTCAAACTCTAGTGCTAGATTTTGTAGCTGGGCAAGCCAGAACTAAAAAATTGTAAGAGCTGGAAAGCTTAGTTCTGAGCTGGCACTTCCCCGCTAGTGTAGGCTCACACTGTCTCATAGCTTTTTCTCCCTGCCAGGGCAGCCCCAATCATGCTGCTTTTGGAAACATTTTTATTGTAAAAACAGACCTCCTGCCTTAGTGTTAGGCAGATGTTAATGCTTGTCACAGCTGTGATTGTGCTTCACCTGGTGCTCCAGTACAGTGAGTTATACATCAGGTCTGGTCCCTCTGTCAGGACTGAAATTAAAGCTTTTAGCTATGGAGATATTTAAGTCAGCCACCTAAACTGTAACTCCTCCTTCTTGGTATGGTGTGGAAGCTTGTCTTCCATTCTCTAAATCTGGCTAGTGATGTGGAGTAGTTTGAAGTAAGACAGGACGTTGCTCTGGGGATGTGAGGGGTCCTGTGGAATGGCAAGACAAAGGGTGACATTGACAGCAGATCTATGCTCTCTGCGACTTCTGTAGGAAGCATTGGACCAAGCTAGTGGTGAAGTAAGTGCAAGGTAAATGCTGGGTGACAGCTGGTGAAAAGGAGGATATATAATCATAGAATAGTTTGGAGGGGACCTTTAAAGGTCATAGAGTCTAACCTCCCCTGCAATAAGCAGCGGCATCTTCAACTAGATCAGGTTGCTTGGAGCCCTGTCCAACCTGGCCTTGAATGTTCCTAGGGATAGGACATCTATCACCTCTCTGGGCAACCTTTTCTAGTCTTTCACCACCCTCATTGTAAAAAATGCCTTCCTAATATCTGGAAAGAATCTACCCCCTTTAAAGCCTTTATCCCTTGCCCTTTTACAATGGGCACTGCTAAAAAAGTCTGTCCTCATTTTTCTTATAAGCCCCCTTTGTGAAAGGCCACAATAAGGTCTTCCTGGACCCTTGTCTTCTCCAGTTTGTCCTCGTAGGAGAGGTGCTCCAGCCCTCTCATCATCTTTGTGGCCCTCTGGCCTAGCTCCCATGGGTCCATGTCTGTCTTGTATTGTGGGCCCCAGACCTATACACACTATGCCAGGTGGAGTCTCACAAGAACAGAGTAGAAGGGCAGAATCACTTCCCTTGGCCTGCTGGCCATACTTCTTTTGATGCACCCAAGGATATGGTTGGCCTTCTGGGTTGTGAGCACACATTGCCAGCTCACGTCCAGCTTTTCATCTACTAACACATCCAAGTCCTTCTTGGCAGGGTTGTTCTCAATCCCTCACCCCCCAGCCTGTATTGATACTAGGGTTTTCCCTGGCCCAGGTGCAGGACCCTGCACTTGGCCTTGTTGAACCTCATGAGGTTCATGTGGGCCCACTTTTTGAGCTTATCAAGGTCCCTCTGGATGGTATTCCCTTCCTTCAGGCATGTCAACCACACCACTCAGCTTGGTGTCATCTGCAAACTTTTTGAGGGTGTGCTCAATCCCACTGTCTATCATTGATGAAGATATTAAATATTACTGGTCCCAACATGGACCCCTGATGGAGACCACTTGTCACTGATCTCCATCTGGACATTAAGCCATTGACCTCTACCCTCTGGGTGTTGACCATTCAACCAATTCCTCATCCACCAAACAGTTCACCTATCAAATCCGTATCTCTCCAGCGTAGAGAAAAGGGTATTGCAAGTGACCATGTAATACGCCTTAGAGAAGTCCAGTTAGATGACATGTACAGCTTTTCCCTTGTCCGCTGATGTAATCACTCCATCGCAGAAGGCCATGAGGTTGGTCAGGCAGGACTTGCCCTTGGTAAAGCCATGCTTGCTGTTTTGAATCACCTCCCTGTCTTTCATGTGCCTCAGCGTAGCTTGTAGGAGCGTCTGTTCCATGATCTTCCCAGGCACAGAGGGGAGGCTGACAGGGTCTTCCTTTCTACACTTTTTAAAAATGGGCGCAATATTTCTGGTCTTCTAGTCACAGGGCAATGGCTCCACCCCTCCTTCCTTGTCTGTCCCTTCTGAATAACCTGTAGCCATTGGTAGCCACATTCTAGTCATGGAATTCATCCCACCAAGTTTCATTAATGACAACTAGGACAAAGATTTCTGGTAGCTTTTATAGCAGCACCAGCTTCCAGCTCCTCATCTTTGTTGCCCATGCTGCCTGCATTAGGGCTGAGATGCTTCAGCTGGGCTGTCAGCCATGCTGCCTTCTTAGAAGAACAGCCCTTAGTTCCTTTGAGGTGTTTCACTGGTGTTTCCTTCTTGGCTCCTGTTACCTCAGGGACCCCGCTGGCTCATCTCCAGAGGACTTCAAGTGTGCTGCAGGTGGAGCCAGCTTGTCTCAGAGCTACAGGCTGAGGGCCCTCACTAGCACCCCATCCCTCTAACCTTGGCATGTCATCCCACATTGTATCACAGGCAAGCTTGATATTATCCCTCCTCCCCCTTCAAGCCTAGTTTAAAGCTCTGTCAATGACCCCTGCTAGCTTGTGACCAAACACCTGCTTCCCCCTTTGACAAAGGTGAATCCCATCTGACATCAGCAAGCCTGGTGTTGTGTAGGCCATCCCATTATCAAAAAACTGAAAATTGTGTCAGTGACACCAGCCATGGAGCCATGTATTCATGTACTGGGCCTGTCTGTTTCTTCCTGTGTCACTGCCTGCAACTGGCAGGAGAGAGGAAAAAATCACGTGTGCTCAGATTCCCTTACCAGTCATCCCAAGAGCCTGAAGTCTCTTTTGGTTGCCTTTGGACTATGTGTTGCAGCTTCATTGCCACCCACATGGAAGAGCAGTAACAGGGGTAGTAGTATGAAGGTCGTACCATGGTAGGAAGTTTTCTAGTGATGTCCTAAACCCAGGCCTCAGGGAGGCAACAGACTCCCCTGAGAGGAGGGTCTGTCCAGCACATTGGACCCTCTGTTCCTTTCAGAAAGGAGTCACTTACAACTATAACCTGTCTTTTCTTCCTTGTGGAGGTGGTCATGATATAGGAGGTAGGCCCTTCTGACCTTGGCAGCACCTCTGGTGAAAATGGACCATTGTCCACATCTTCCATTGACTAGCTTTACAAATCCAGAGTCTTGTACCTGTTATACAGAGGCACCTAGGAAGGCAGGGCAAGGAGGGGATTCGTCTGCCACCTTGAGCACGGACTTGTCTCCATTCACTCCTTTCCTTTAAGCTACTGCCTTCAGCCTGGCAGGGGGAGAATACAGCATCCTCTTGCTTCTGATTTATTTTTTCGGGTGGCTGTTGCCATTTCTGTCTCAGTGAGGGCAGAGTATGATTCTACCAGTCTATCTCTTTCTCAGACTCCCTGAGGCTCTTTAACCTTTTTACTTCCTCTCAGAGCTCTGCCACCAGGCTGAGCAGATTGTCCACCTGGCAGGGGGAGAATACAGCATCCTCTTGCTTCTGATTTATTTTTTCGGGTGGCTGTTGCCATTTCTGTCTCAGTGAGGGCAGAGTATGATTCTACCAGTCTATCTCTTTCTCAGACTCCCTGAGGCTCTTTAACCTTTTTACTTCCTCTCAGAGCTCTGCCACCAGGCTGAGCAGATTGTCCACCTGGTCACACCTCACACAGCTGTTCTTGCTACTGCCACGATTAGCTGTGAAAAGCTCTGGCACTCTCTGCAGCCCCAGCAGAGAGTGGGAGCTCTGTCTGGGTTACCACATCCATTCTGCCAAGTACAGAGGACATGGTTTTCTGACAGATGGATACCATAGTGAAGCTCTTTCTGAGAAGGTGATGAGCTGATAGGGTCACTCCACCCTTCTTGTGTGAACTGCCACACCAAGGCTTTGGCATACAGTGAATCACAGAATCATCTAGGCTGGAAGAGACCCTCGGGATCATCGAGTCCAGCCATCCACCCTACCCTAAAGTTCTCCCCTACACCATATCCCCCAACACCACATCTAAACGGTTCTTAAACACAGCCAGGGATGGTGACTCAACCACATTACAAGGCTTTGGAATTAAGTTGTGTAAAACAAGAGGAGAGGAATGAAAATAGATTAAAAATGTTAAGATGATAATAAAAAATAACATTTTTATTCTGTAGTAGCAATTTTACCTAGTGGTGTATGAGTTAGAATCACTTTAAGAGGTGGCCCTCTGCCTTGCTTCCCTGCCCTCCTTATCCAAGAGGGATACTGATTATTTTGTGGCTCCATTACTACTGATATCACCATAAGGGACATAGCAAAAATGTGGCTAGAGCAGGAAGCATGGGCAGAATGCACCTATGTATGTCAGTTAAACATGAAGGTGGAACTACACTCTCACTTTGCATGCACAGCCACACAATGTACCCACAATGTGTAATTTACTCGATCCATATACGATTG